AGTCTGGCCAGACGGTACCCCCAAGCACCAAGCTTAGAGAGGCGAGAGGCTCAGAGCCTGAGGTCCTTTTATAGGAGATGCTAGGGGGAAGTTAGCAAGCAGAAATACAAAAGCGAAGTGCTGAAGGAGAGGGATTTTACAGATTGTTCTTAACATGTTCTGTTATGGAGTTGGGTAAGCATGATGGAACACTGCGCACTCCACAGACCTTCCTGGAACAACAGCAAATACATTCCTGGAACTCGATGTTCCCCTGGTGATCCGTAACAGAAGCAGACAAGTTGGGGCCCTATTACAAAATGGAGTAACTGTTGTTCAGTCTCACACTTGGACCTCCTCAGCCTGAAAACCACAACCCACTTCCTTAGTCCTTCTGGACATGGGTGGTGCCCAAATCCACCTAGTGACATCCAAAGCCTCTCCAAAAGGGACACCAGACTCTGCTTGTTAAAAGCAAAAAGGCTGAGATAAGTTTGACCCCAGCTGTGGTTCTGGCCATCCCCCTGACCCTAAGCTCAGGGAAATTCTGTTTCCAGCTGTGGCTGCAGCCAGTCTGGGGCCTAACTTCCTTTCTGTGCAGGAGGAAGAGGAAAAATTGCCCTACAGCCAACTTTGGTGGTCAAATTTCTAACACAAAAGGCAAAAGACACAAATAAGTGTGGCTTTTCAGATGGAAAGATCCCTCCTAGGTTCCTCTGAGATTGTGTGTAGAAGGAGCCTAGGGTGTAGAAAAAGACAGATCTAGATTCAAGTCTAAGTCTACCTCTTAGAATTTTGGCCATGTAAGGGAACATCCCAGGTTCCAGGGATCAGGGATGGACATTTGAGGGACTTCTCTGTCTCTGAACCTCAGTCTCATCATCTGTGAAATGGGAATGATCACTGCTACATCCACAGGATGAATATTAAATGAGGTGGTATCTCTGAAAGCCAGACATTGAGAATGGTTTATTATCCTTGCACGGGAGGGGCACAATAGAGACAGAGGGTGGCAAAAAGCACTCTTTTGGGTGAAAGCTCAAATCCTGGCTCCACCTCTTCTGCTGTGTGTGACCTGGGATGACTCACTCCCTCCACCTCTCTGAGCTGCCATTTCCTCACCTGCACAATGCAGCAGCTGACAACCATCTCCAAGGGTTGTGGCAGAGTTTACAAGAGATACGGCGCCTCAGGAGAGGAGCTCAGGCAAGTCAGCAGGCCCCAGGCAAAAAGGGCTGCCCCAGAAGTGCTCAAGTCTCCTCTGGGAAAGATACGGGGACGAGACTGGATTATATGACTCCTGATTCCAAAGGGCCTATCTCCAGGGCTCCTGTGTCCTCACTGACAATGGCTGACTAGAGAGCTAAGCATGCAGACCTCCCCATCCCCTGACAAGAGACACATTGATACGACACATTGTATAGGTACATTGTCTATAGGTATAGAAACATTGATATGAGTGCCTTACATGAGCCAGGGCCATCCATCCTGAGGGCTCAGCCTGAAGGTGACCCCTGTGTTGCTAGGGCTTTTTCCAGCCCACAGGGCAGAGCTTCTGCTAGATACAGAATAGAACCCAAAGGCCTTTCCCACCCCTGCCCAGAGCTCTTCATACATGGCACCATCCAAAGCCCACCGAGGGGTTAATGTCCCCCCTGGGCCACAAGATTATAGCCTGTGACCAGAGGGCTCTGCTTCACTGAAGTCCAGTGTTGTTATTTATTCATTTGGCTCATTGCTATTGTCAGGCCTGGGGACATCTTCACCCATCCAAACAGGCCACCGTACAGAAGAAGCCATGTTCCTGCAGTCCTAGCAGGACACCGGGGGATCAATGGAGCAACTTAAAAGGGGCTGCTGCAGAGGGCTGTGTTGGGGGAGGGCAGGATATGGAGGCACCCAGGACCACTGCCAGGTCTGAAGGGACAAAGGGAGGGACATTTCCAGAACCTAGTGAGGAACCAAAGCGTGGAGGGGCTGCTCATTAGAAGGTGGCGTCAGGAGAGATGCAGCCACCATGGGAAATAAGGGTCAGAGCAAGGAGGAGCAGGGAAGAAACACCCACACTTCTCTCCTCTGGCCTCTGAGTGCCTGCCAAAGGCCCCTCAAGTTCACGGCCGGGGGCCAGGGCATCCCTGTGACCTGGAGCAGAGGAAGGGAAGAGAGGGAGTCTGACTGGAACAAACAATGGGGAGCTGAGGAATGAGACAGCACTCCATAGCCCAAGTGTACTCATGGCCTACAGCTGCAGTGACAGCCTGCCACAATCTGGGGCCTTAGAGCTCTGTGCATGTTTTTATTTATTCTCCTACAGTCCTGAAGTTCAGAAGTCTGAAATGAACCCCAGAAGGCTAAAATTCAGGGCTGCATTCCCTCTGGAGGCCTAGGGGGAATCCCTGTCCTTACTTCTTCCAGCTCCAATAGGCCACCTGCATTCCCTGGCTGATGGGTTCACATTCCTCCAGCCCCCGTCATCACATCTTCATTCTGAATCTGACCCTCGGGCTCCATTCTCTACAGTGCTCTACTCACATTGTCCAGGATCATCACCCCATCTCATCTGCCCAAGGTCTCTTTCCACGTAGGTGAATATTCCAAGTTCCAGGGATTCGGGATGGGCATTCTCGGGGACCTTCACTTCGCCTCTCACACAGACCTGCCAACTAGTTCCTGTGCCCAGCTCCTGTTGCTCATTTCTATCTAACCCAGGGGACTTCCTTGGATGCCTGAAATATAGTGATTATTTTACCACCGCAGGGCCTTTGTACCTTCTGATGTTTCTGCCTGAAATTCTCTTCCTTCCTGTCCTTCCTATAGATGAGAGTCAGATATTGATTTGAGTATCTCTGAGTGGGGCTGGGATGTCAGTGGTAGAGTGCTTACCTAGTATGCATAAGGCCCTGGGTACCATCCCTAGCCCTAGGAAACAAAACAAAACCAAAAAACACCTCTCTGCGGGGCTTTCCCTGGCTTCATGGTCTCGGCCAGCTGCCCCCTCACTCTGAATTGTGTTCCCCATTCTCATTGCCGTGTACTTGCTTTCCTGTCCTTCCTGCTACAGTGTGTGCACCGGGCTGGTTCACACTGCAACCCTGCGGCTTAACAGAGCCAAGCATACAGCAGGCGCTCCACACTCAGCAGCTCAGTGCTCGTGTTCTCACCCTGTCTGTCCCACCCTGAACCCTGAGAACCCTTTACCCTGTTTCCTGATTTCATTTCTCTTTTACTCTTCCATTTCCGACTCACTTCTCACTTGAGGGCAGCAGAAAGCACTGTAACTTGCAGTTTCTTCTCTAAGCAGAGAAGGAAATGACTCCGGGGTAGGGACAGCATCATGCCTCCCTAAGTCAGAACAAGCTTTCTGCTGGGGCACCCCAGCCTCACTTGCTCCCCAGCCCTGAGTTCACTGCCTTCCTCCTCCCTGGAGCATCTGACCTCCAGAGCATGAGGTTCCTCACTGACAGCCAAGGAGACTGAGCCCCCAGGTGCAGTGCACCAATTTTCTGGGCTCCACTATCACCCTGGGACGATGGGAGCCACTTCCCCCTGAGGCAGAGGCGGAGCCTTGGAGACTAAGGTCAGCTGGCCCAGAGACCCTCAGCCAGGCCAGCCCGGCGCCAGTGACCCAGAGGAAATATCACTGAAGTTCAAAACCTTCTGTGACACAGAGTTCAGCCTCTCCCTCGAGTGGGGCAAGGGACAGCTGAGGAGGAAGCCATCCCACCCAAATCCTGCAGGTCCACGTCTCTCTCCGGGCATGCAGACTGGCTCCTACTGCCGCCCACTCACTTTCTTCCTCTACACTATCCCAGGAGCTGCAGATCAGTGACACAGGGACCCAGGATGTGTGGAAGAAGGGTTCAAGGCTGAGAGAGCATGGTGATGGTCAAAGGCTTGACTTCCACCCACACTGCCCCATGATGGGAAAATCTCTGTTCCCCCAAATTCAGGATGAAGCCAGGCTTTAATCTCTGGGTGGCCCTCATTCCTGTCATATAGGATGCCTTCAAAAGTATGGAACCTATACAACAGAACAGGGGCTGCTTTTCAGAGGACCCCATGCTTGGTTTAATGTTCTCTCATCTCTGACTCAAAATGCTTAATAACTTTTGAACAAAAGACTCACATTTCCATTTTGCACTGGGCCTGCAAATTATGAAGCCTGTCCTGTGAACCCAGCCTCTCAACCTCCCACTTCCATGCACCTCTGCTTTTGTGAGAGCTCCTAAGACAACCACCTCATATGAGTGGAGCGAGGGACTAACCTCTGGGTTAAGACATTTGGGTTTTCCTAGGGACCTTCTGAAGATAGCATCAACACAAAGCTGCCATAGGGACTTTCAGGCTGGCTGAGGAGACCTGTTTGTTCAGAGGAGCCTTTATATCCCACCCCGTAGAAGTTGGTGGGATGAAAGGGGTCAGAAAAAACTTGAACTTTGGGCCAGGCAGACTTTATTCATTTCCTGGCCCTCCTCCTTGTAGTCTGAGTGATCTCACGAATGTTAGTAAACCTCTCTGTTCCTCAGCTCATCTGTAACAGGAGGGTTATAATCGTACCAATCTTGAAGGTTACTGGGAAGATTGAGATAACATGTAGAAAGTCCTTGGACCAGAGTCAGGCAAGTATTACGTTCTTGATAAAGGTTAGCCACTGAGGCCAGGCACTTGGGCTCCATTACTTGCTCCGCCACTTACTCTGATGTGGATTTAACCCCTCTGTACCTGGGTTTCCTTATTTGCTAAATGGGAATTGCCACTGCAGAGCTTTGGGAGCTGCAATTAGTACCAGAGTGACTTCTCCTCCAGAGCCCTTCCCTGCAGCCTCCAGGCCCTCACAGCCCCTCCCCTCTCCTCCATGTAGCCATGTGCCCAGGAGGAAGAATCTGGAGCCAGGAACAGGGTCTGGTTCTGCTGGTGATGGAAGAAGGAGTAAACAGATAAACCGAGTTCAGTTCTCCAGAGGAGCTGCTCACATTGTAGGGCAGCAGCCACCAGGCTCTGATTGTCTCCTCTTCTTCCAGACTGGTCCTTCCCAGGAAGAAGCAGAGGCTCACAATGCTGACCACTGCTTTAGGCACCTACATGGGCCTGTTGGTGGCAGCATCAGTGGCAGGCTGTGACCCTACCCAACTGGACACCCTCAGCCTCCCATGCATCCACAGGCGCCAGAAGAGAGACTGGATTTGGAACCAGATGCATGTTGATGAAGAGAAAACTGATCCTTTACCCTATTATGTGGGCAAGGTAAGTCTCAGGCCCCTGGGCAGGAGAAGTCCTCAGCAGCTGATGGTAATGGTGGTAAAGTTGTGGGGGCAATGGCAACCAAAGCATGGATGGTGAAGGTGGTAGACATGGTTGTAGTGATGGTATCTGTAGTGGCAGTGGTGACAGGAAAGGAGAAAGTATTATTGGTGACAATAGTGGTAGTGATAGTGAAGGGGAAGGTAAGAGAGATTATGGTTGTGGAAGTGGTGGAGGTGATGGTGGTAATGGTAATTGTGGCCGTGGTAATGGTGATGGTAGTGGTAGTAACAGTACAGTGGTGATTGGTAAGGGAAATGGTGGTAATAGCAATGATGATGGTGGTGGTGCTAGTGATAGTGATAATGTTAGTGGTAGATGATGGTAATAGGGATTGTTGCACTGGTAGTGGTGGTAGTGATGATGGTGGTATTGTCGGTGAAGGAAGGGTAAGGAAGGTAATGATGATGATGGTAGTGGTAATGGTGACAATGATGATAGCAGTTGTAATGGTACCAGTGGCAGTAATAGTGAAAGGGAAAGTAAGAAAGTGTTACACTTTGGATCTTAAATGTCTTAAAAAGTCATGTGCTTTGTTGGCAGCCTGTGGCACTATGAGAGTGGTGGAACCTTTAGGAGGTGGGGCCTAGTGGAAGGAAGTTAGGTCTTTGGGGGTATGGCCATGAAGGAGTTATTGGGGCTTCACCCCTTTTCTCTGTCTTTTCCTCTTGGCTGCCATGAAGTGAGCACCACACACATTCTACCATAATATTCTGCTTTGTCACAGGACCAAAACCAGGGGTCATGCAACCATGTATGACCATCTGAAACTATAAACCAAACAGATCTTTTCTCATTTAAGTGATTACCCCTAGTATTTTGTCATAGCAATGGAATGCTGACTAACAGAAAATTGATTCCAAGAAGTGGAGTCCTCATTGTGGCTATACCTAATAAATAGTATGGTTCAGAAAACTTTGGAATTGTTATGTAAGAGGAATTTGGAAAAGTCTGGAGAAGCAGGCTAAAAAGTGTTAGAATGCTGAGGCAGATCTTACTGGGCAATTCTGATGAGGGATCAGAAGACCAGAATGCTGATAGGAATATAAACAGTAAAGACTCAGATTCCTTGAGTTTCAGATGGGAGCAAGGGTTCTATTGGGAGTTGGACTAAAGACCATTTGTGTTACATTCTGGCAAAGAATTTGTCTGCATTTTGTCCTTGCCCTGAGTCTTCTGTGGGCTAATTTTAAAGATGATAAACTGGTTTATCTGACAGAGGAAATTTCAAGGCAACACAACATTCGAGCAGTGTCATGGGTATTACTGGCTGCTTTTACTTAGACTGACAGTGAAAATTAAGACCAAAAAACAGGGTGAAAAGACTTTAAAATCTTGTAGTTTGGCCACAAAAAGAATAAATTTAAAGTTGCAGACAAGGAGGGTCTGATTGCTAAAGAGATTTGAATCAGTAAAAGGTAACCAAGAGGGCCGGGGATTTAGCTCAGTGGTTCCGCTGCCTGCCTCACAAGCACAAGGTCCTGAGTTTGATCCCTGGTACCATAAAAATGGTAATCAAGTAATTTTCACTGGAACAATAGGAAAAATACCTTGAGGCTATCTCAGGAATTTGCAAGATTCAATCCATACCACACTAAGCTCCAGAGAGTCCTGTTCATCATATAGGCATGCCTAGGAAACTGTTTTTCTAGAATTCATTTTCCTGTGTTCAGTGATCTAGACATTCAAAGTTTGCTGCAGCCTTGTTCTATGCAGGCCAAGCTACTTCTTGAGAGTGGCAGACCTTGGCATCATCCACATTACGCTGGTTTTGCAGGCATAAGAATGCAATAGCTGTGGGATAGGGTCTTAGAAGCTTCCACCAAATTTTCAAAGGAAAGCCTAGGAGGCCAGATCATGTGTGGTAGAGAAAAAAAAAAAAAAAGCAGTCCCTGACAGAGTGTTATATAAATCTATGAGAGTGAAACAAAGCTGCAGCGGAGACCCAAGGAAGTTAGAGATGCCATGAACATAGAATGCCTGCTGAGGGAAGCTGCAGACAGACCAGAACAAGCCCAAGGCCATAGGGGCCCAGCTTCCTAAGCCCTTTTGACCTCATGTTAAGCCACCATGTACCCCAGGTACTAGATGTACCCAGGTACTAGCCACAGGATTTAATGTTTGTCCTGCTGGGTTTTGATCTTGCTTTAGTCAAATCCTTCCTTTCTAACCCTCAACTCCTCCTTCCTGGAATAGGAATATTTACCCTGTGCCATTGTGTCTTGGAAGTATATAACTTACTTTTTGATTCTCACAGGTAAAAGTTTGCGTTGAGTCTCACAGAAGACTTTGCATTTGCATTTCCAATACTGTAACTTTTAAGACTTTGAGAATTCTTTGAGATTGACTAAATGTATTTTGCACTATGAGATGGACATTAGCCTTTGGGGCCCAGGGGAAAAATGCTATAGTTTAGATTTTACATGATCCCCCAAAGGCCATGCTCTAAAGGATTTTTTGATAGTCTGTGCTGCTGTTAGATGGTGGAACTCTTAGAAAGTGGAAGGAAATTATGTCATTAGGTCTCTCTCTCTCTCTCTCTCTCTCTCTCTCTCTCTCTCTCTCTCTCTCTCCCCCTCCCTCCCTTCCCTCTCCTTCCTGGCCACCATGAAGTCCTTCACCACATTTTTTCACCATGATCTACTACCCTGCCACAGACACAAAGCAAAAAGGCCAATCAACCATGAATCAAAATCTCTGAAACCATGAGCCAAAATAAACCTTGCCTCCTTTTTCACAGGAACAAAAAGCTAACTAACATAGGGAAGTAATGATGGTCCTGGTGCTGGTAGTGGTAATAGTGACGTGACAGTGGTGATGACAGTGAAGGGGAAGGTAATGACAGTAGTGCTGGTGGTGGTAATGGCAGTGGTGGTAGTAATGGTGATGATGATAGTAGTGGTGATGGTGGTGGTGGAGGCATTGGTGATGGTGGTGGTAATGAAGGTGAGCAAAGTACTGGTAATGGTGACAGAAATGGTTATGATGATTGTGGCAGTGATGGTAATGGTGAAGCAGGAGAAGGTAATGATGGAGGTGCTGATTATAGAAATAGTAGTGATAGTGTTAACTGTGATGGTGGTGATAATAGCAAAAGGGTAGATGATGATGCTGTTGAAAGTTATGATGGTGATTATAGTGATGGTGATGGAAAAGGTGGTAATGGTGGTGATCATGGAGGTTATGGTGGTAGTGATGTTGGTAACCATGGTGATGAAGGGGCAGCAAGGAGTAGGGATAGTGGTAATGATGGTGATGATGATGGTTGTGGTAGTAATGTTAGTATCAAAAGTAATGCTGATGGTAATGATGGAGAAGGTGATGATACTGGTTATCATGAAGGTGATGGTGGTATTAACAATAGTGGCAGTAGTAGCGGTGGCAACAAAGATGATGGAGGTAATAAAGTAGAAGTAATGATGGTGATGATGAAAGTGGTAGAGGTGGTGGCTGTGGTGATGAAGGGGAGGCAAATGATGGCAGATATGATGGTCATGATGGTGATGGAGATAATGGTGGTAATGGTGTTGGTAGTGATAGTAGTACTGATGGTGATGATGAAGGAGAAGGTGATAGTGGTGATCATGGAGGTGACTGTGATAGACATGATGATGATGGTGGTAATGATGTCGGTGGTGATAGTAAAAAAGTATTGATGATGGTGATGATGAAGGTGATAGTGGTGGTGGTGATGATAATGAACTCTATGGTTCATTTTCTCCTAAAGCTTGCTCAATGGACTATCACTAGCAAAAAGGATATCCTATTCTGAGGTTACAGAGCTCAGACTAGTCAGGAGGTTCAGGGTTAGGGCAGAACCAGCCCAGGCTGACATTAACTGTTCCTTAAGAAGTCAGTAAAAGCCTGAGAAGCCTTCTACAAAATTGTGCTGGTGATGATGTTTGTCAACTCTGCTGGCCATAGTTTGCCAAACCTGGCCTAGGCCTATGAACTTCCTTAAAAATCCCTTTCTCTCTGACTATTCCTCCCAGGCTCCCTATGACCCAAACTGTCTCCCCAAATACAGGACACCTATTCCAAGGTGTCTGCCCCAAGAGCTCTAACCCTTATTTTGTCCTTTTTTTTGGTACCGGGGATCGAACTCAGGACCTTGTGCTTGTGAAGCAGGCGGTGGAACCACAGAGCCAAATCCCCAGCCCCTTATTTTGTCCTTCTTTAGATGTGACCATCCCAAACCCATGTTCTGAAATCTTGAAGCTAATCTGTGTGCGTGCAGAATTGTCTCACCATGTCAAATTGTCACAGATGTCAAACCACCAACTCTAATTCAAAGGAATGGCTCTCATGGTAGAATTTTACACACAATGACAGATAAATGGACTAGGTATATTGAGAGTTTTCTGTGAGAAAGAAAGCTTCTCAGAAAGCTTCAAATCCATAAAATCTCAGCATGTCAACTCCTTCAAATCTACACACCAGCTATAAGAAAGCACATGTCGAATGTACTGGAGAAAAGATGGACAGCTCCAACCAATAGACCAGGTGCTAGAAAGACAGCAGTGAGCAAAGACAGACATGTCCCCACCATCACAGAGACAGGGGCCTACAGCAGGGATTTGCAAACTATTGCCTGCTGGCCAAATCTGGCCCCTGCCTGGACTTGTAAATAAAGTTTTATTAGAACACAGCCACATCCACTCATTTACAAATTGTCCATGCTAAGATAGCAGAGTTGAATAGTTGTGACAAAGATCATATGGCCTACAAAGCTGAAGATATTTACTCTCTAGCCCTTTACAGAGTTTACCCACCCTGATCTAGAGGATCAGCATACATCGGAAAAAGAACTCAAAAAACAGTAGTGATGGGAACCCTCTGAGGATAGGGAGACAATCTGAAGAGGACCCTCTCATTTGAGAGAGTCTGGCCATGGCACCAAAGTGTCCCCATGGCCAAAAGAAGTGGATGGTGCCAACTGGAGAATCTCTACTCCCAACCCCATCCACAGCCAGCTGATTTTGCCCATGGGCTCTTCTGGCTCCCCACAATGATTGACCTGGAAATGTAAATTCTCCAACGTGGCCAGTAAGAGGGGAAGACACAAGTCCAGAGTTACACAGTGAGATCAGAGAGCCCTATGAAATTCTGGAGCACCTGACTCTACTGCAAATGTGAGTCCTCATCAGAGAGGGAAATATCATCAACCCACCTAAATCTTTCCACATGGAATAATTGTGCCATGAATCATCCTCTGAGGAGAATGGCTGGTCCCCAAGGAAAATCTGCTGGTGAGTCAGGGAGAGTCAGGGGAAAGTGGGACCACTGCATTGTGCCTGGGAGGACAGCATTTAGAGGGCTCACCCAAGGGTCTGCAAACAGCAGGAAGAACATCCAGCCTGCATCATCTAAGTGTGTTCATTTGGCAACTGGTGTGCATCATCTGTGGTCCCCACCCTAGGAAGAATGAAAGATCCCTTGGAGTGGCAAGCACAGGGCTGCAAGGATCGCTTCCTGGCTCCCTGCTCCCAAGAATGTAATTGGAGGGAAGGGAGTCTCTGTTTATCAAGGTCAAAGTCTGGAGCCTTTGCCTACAGACCTGGATGGACACTGACAGCGAGCCCTGCGAAGCCTTCTGAATCCACCCCTGTGGGTCACAGTGGCTTTCGGCATTAGTATGTTCTGTCCAAAAACAGTGACATTAGAAAATGGGGGGCTCTCAAAACCTATAACCCTAGTCTAATCATGAGAAAAACATCAGATAAATTCCAACAGAAGTGCATCCTACAAGATTTCTGACTAGTACTCCTCAAAACATGCAAAGGTTATCAAAAATAATAAAAGTCTGCGAAACTGTCACAGCCAAAGAGAGCTTAAAGGAACATGACAACTGAATGTGATGTGACATCTCAAATGTGATATTGTAACAGGAAAAGGACATTAGGTTAAAAAAAAAAAAGGACTTCTATACAAATTGTGAACTTCAGTTGATAATAATACACCAATATTGGTATCTTTATTATAACAAGTATGCCACACTAATGTAAAATGTTGATATTAGGTGGAAAAGGAGCAGGCATACAGGAACTCATTAGCTTCTCAGTTTTCTGGAAATCTAAAACCCATTCTAGAAAGCAATGATTACTTAAGAAAAATTGGGAAATGGACAGAACAAAAACTTAACTGCACATGAAGTCTTATGCATAGTTCCAATACCCGGATGCAAGCAGACTCATTCCCCATCGCCATCCCTGCCTGGTGAGTTTTACCACTTGCACCTGGAACCCAGTTTGCAAAGTGTCATCTTATCCTAACCTGAGCAGCTCACACAGCGCCCTAGACTGTCCCTTCTCTTTGAGTCCCGCTGTCCCTGTGCACCAGAGGTTACAGAGCTCTTGTCCCCCTCTAGCTGTTCATCATAGTCCTGGACACTAGGCCTTGGGACCTCCTCATGGGGCCACCTGCCCCCACCACCACCACAGTCCTGCTCCAGGATGTTGCCATCGCCATTTGCTACCCACCCAGGGAAAGGCTCCTTCCTCCCTGTCTCCATTCCCTCACCTTCCAGACTCTTCTCTCCTCTCCAACGTTTGGCCTCTGAGCCTACCACTGGCTGTCGCTGCTCTCAGCAAGGGCTCTATTGATTTCATTGCTGCTAAGCCCAGAGGAGATGTTCTAGACCTCATGGGATTGGACCACAGATTTCTCACATCTCCCTCTCCTCTCCTGAGGCCCCACACTTTTGCAATCCTCCTTCAACCTTTCTGAGAAGTCCTCATGGGACACCTTCCAAGGCTCTTGCTCTGTCTGGCTCTTGAGTGCTACCTGTCCTCAGGGTCCCAGCCTCCAAGGCATCAAGCCTTAGCCTTGAAAGCCAAGACGGGTCTCTATTACCTCTGTGCCCCTAATGTGGGGCCTGGCACTACTTTTTAAGTTAAATTCTATTTTTTGGACATTTTAATAATCTAGAAGAATACCATTTTACATGCATGAAACACTTATCTTATGGTCCTGATATTCTCTATGATTCCATGTATGGAATGTCACTCTCAACCTTCTAATATCATTTAGCTTATAGATCTACCATTAATAACATAGTAACTAGGTTGGGGCTTTAGCTCAGTGGTTCTGCTGCCCGCCTTACAAGCACAAGGACCCGAGTTCAATCCCCGGTACCAAAATAATAATAATAATAATAATAATAATAATTTTAGTAACTAGAATTTATTGAAAGCCTGTTCCATGCCAAGTACTTGACATATATTATTTTCCAAATCTCATGCCAAATCATAATAGCACATGTTGCAAAGAAAAATGGTTCATTGATCTAAGAAGTACAGGAAATCCTGAGTTAAACAAGTTATTTTCTGCAGGACTGGACATTGTAAATCTCCAAGAAGAGAACATTCTATGTTTGGTTCCAAAACTAAATTGACCAAGACCAGTTGCGTGCCGAGAAATGGTGACAAGTGACCCTCGTGGGGGAAAAGTCCTGATGCATAGTACTTGTCAATTTCCTCCATGTCAGGGTCCTCACTGTGCCTGGTTTCAGGCTACGGACTGGACACCACCGAAGGCAGAGTTGGGAGGTGTGCGTGGTCCCATAGTATCCGTACAAAAGGCATAGACAACCTCAAACATACTAAAATGTTGTAAAATAGTTAAGACGTGATGAATTCTGGGTATTTGTGAGCTTTGTTTGTATTGCGGTTTATTTAATTGTAAGTTTATAGAATTTAATTTTTAATAATGGCCATATTTAACAGCCAGCGCACAAATATTCCTGAAGCTATAAGGTGCCTCTGGAAAGCCATCCTGACACAACCCGGCCCCAGCACACCACTGATGGGAACCCAAAAAATCAAGTTTCCTAGGATTCATTTTCAAAACTGCTACTCTGCTCATTAGAGCACCTCGACTTCCGAAGTTGTATTAGCTCCATTTTACCGATGAAGTAACAAGTCAGAGGAGATCAGTACCCCTTCCCTTCCTGAGCACCAGGATATTCTCTCACTCAGAAAATGTCTTCAAGGACCTACGGTGCTCCAGACGTGCATTGGGCACTGTTTGGCAACTCACACCAGCATGGTGTTTGTGTAACTTGTGTTAGAGCAACTCACTGGTGAACAGTGGGAGGTTTGCTAAAACTTAGTGTCACATCTGGGATCCTTGGTCTGAACCACACACACACACACACACACACACTTACATATGTGAGCACCCTCATGCACAGACATGTGCACACAGCCACGCTGCCTGTTCTCATCTCATCTCATGTTGCATCTTCTTTCCCAGCTCAAGTCGAGTGTGAACCGCAAGAACGCCACGTATGTGCTCAAAGGAGAGGCCGCTAACAGCATTTTCCAGGTCAATGCAGACACAGGGGATGTGTATGCTTTTGCGAGGCTCGACCGGGAGAAGGTCTCCGAGTACTCCCTCGTTGCCCTCATTGTGGACAAAGACACTAACAAAAACCTGGAGCCTCCTTCCAACTTCACTATCAAAGTTCATGACATAAATGACAACTGGCCTGTGTTCACCCATCGGTTGTTCAATGCCTCGGTGCTCGAGATGTCACCTGGGGGTACGTGGCCCACTCTGTCTCTCCCCTCCTCTCTCTCTCATCCCCAGCCTGGGAGTGACTCTTGCATCAGCCACTTTACTGCCTGAGGTCAGGATTCAGTGACTTCAGGGCAGTGGTTGTAATGCCTGTGCTGCCACTTTATGTGATTAGTCCCTAAAGCTGAGCTCTGACTTAACCCCAGACTGAGTTCTGATCCTAGACACAAACTGAGCCCTAACCCTGATCATGGACTGAGCTCTGGTCATCAGAGACACGCGTACCTCATTATTCTTCGTTAAAAAAAAAAAAAAAAAAAAACCCTACTGGCTGCCTCTAACTCCCAGGTCTGACGCACCAAGAATGTAGCTTTTGCCCCTGAATTATGACAACCCCTGTCACCAAAGTAAGAAAAGCCATCTCTAGGGGCTATGTAGGGGTGGCATTGGACGACAGCGCCCTGGCCCCCAAATGTGTCACCCGCCTAGTGGGAGGTTACTACTCTCTTGTCAATCCTACATCCAGAAGGTTCCAGAAAAGATCTTCCCTCTCCTCCCCCTCAGTCCAGGATCCCTGGCAGAGTGTGGACCAGGCCTTCCTGGTATGTGTGAGGGGATGAGAACTGTGACACCATCCCTGTGGAGTTATGCACATTTCCTTCCCGGTCCTCTGTTCTCATCCTTTCTGTAAAGGGAGGAATGACCCATGATCCTGGGTTTCTACTCCTGACCCAATCATCCAACAGACACGCACACATACTTCTCCTATGTATATGCAAGCTACCTGTTCTCTTTTCCTCTTTAAGCTCGACCCACGAGGCCCAACACTGCCAGCATGTTGCCCTTGTGCAGGCCACTCAAAAATCCAAGGGACCTGAGAGGTGGGGACAGCAGCACCCCAGCTGCCCTCACCCAGGAATGGGATGAGAGGACACAGTCACAAGGTAGTAAGCCCAGGATCCTCTCTCCACAGGGACCTCAGTCATGCGTTTAACAGCAGTGGATGCAGATGACCCCACTGTGGCAGACCACGCCACTGTTATGTACCAAATCCTGAAGGGGGGTGAGAATTTTGCCATCGACAATTCAGGTCTGTGTGACTAACCTCCCTGGGTGGGCACCAGTTGGAGGGATGGGGGAATGGAAATACTCCAGATACAGATGCCAAGAGAAATTCAGCCTGACTGTTGTCACTAACCACTGAACCACACTGACCCAAGGAGAGAGGCTGGCTGTGGGAAATGAAAGCAAGACAGATACCCAAAACATGGATTCAAGTCCCAGGGACAAAATCAGGATTTTGCTATCCAAGCAGTGACCAAGAGGCCACAGAGAATGCTGGTTAGCAGTTCTTTACACAGGTTCAGACAGATCTGGTATCTAAACCCAGCTCTACTCATCCCTATAGAGACCTTCAACAAATCTACTAACCTCTGCAAGCCTCAATTTCCTAATCTAAAAAATAGGACGTAGTCATCTCATATGGTAGTTGTGAAGTTTGAATTACAAAGGAAGCATAGCCACATAGTTTTTGTGACTTTCTCATTACAAGAAAAACTTCACAAATTAAGTTTAATTGAGCAATGAATAGTTCATAATCAAGGAGCCCCAGAACCAAAACGAGCTCACTCTAGGGCTGCCACATGGTTAGATAAAATTTAAGAATAAAGAAATTAACGTACAAAAAACAGAAGTAAGATCCAGAAACAGGTGGATTGGTTACAACTTAAACAATTGTCCACCTGTGATTGACAGAAGCACAGCAGCCATGAGTGGCTGAGCATAGTCTTAAATTAAGTTTTCAGCTCATTTACATACAAAGTTAGGCTGCAGTTTATCACAGAAGGACTCAAACAAGTACAGAGATTTTTTCTCTGACCAAATTTAGTTTTATTTAACAGACTAAAATACTTTAAGGACAGCATCTTGGAAACAAGAAAGCAAGTTGAAAGGGCTGGGGCACCTGTCTTTCAGAGGAACAGCAAATACATAGAACAGATGCCACCACAATCCTATGGTGTGCCAAAGCAGACATCACTAATCCATCACAGCACCCTTTCATTCTGTGCCTGAATGTGACTTCCTGATCTTTCTCAACACAGTGTTCCAGGTAGCCAGGACCAAAATCAGAACATGCTCTTTGGCCGTCTCTTTGGCTACACACTGGAATTGCCTCAGTTCTCTCTAGGTAGGGCCCAGGCTTGTGCATATTCTCAAAGCTTCCCAGGTAACATGGCTCTTGGAAACATTTTTTGCAGGATTAATTTCCACTGCAAAGCAAAACTTGGATCGAGAGGTACAGGCCAGCTATGAGATCGTGGTGGAAGCACGAGATGCCGAGGGCCTCCAAGGAGAATCAGGCACAGCCACCGTGCTGATCACTCTGCAAGATGTCAATGACAACTTCCCCATCTTCGCTCAGCGTGAGCCCCTCTCCTCAGGCCCTGGGCAGGCAGGAGTTGCAATTCTCAGACTTAGTGATTTGGGGGTTAGGGAGAGGTTTCCCAACTCCTTCTACCTCTCTTCTACCCCAGGGTGAATCTAAGGCCCAGACAAATCATTTGGGTGCAGGAGGGGCCCCATTTCCATCCCTGTACTACACATCCAAGTCCATCGTTTTCTGGTCGTGGTCTTCTCACAGGCCAGGGGGAAATCACACTTCCTGCTGAATATCACCACTGTGCCTGGAGCCTACTATGAGTTAGAAGCGGTTTCATCCAGATCTCTTGGGCTCAGGAAAACCCAGGCCCTGACTCTCAGGCTCCAGCTAGAAAATCCCCATGAGCCAGTGAGCAGGGGTACAGCCCAGGTTGGGCCCTGACCCCAGTCATGACTGATTCTGCCCTCAAAAAATGTCTGACCAGAGCTCTTCCTGTGCCCTGAGTGGGTCTGTGTTCATTGCAACCTCCATTGCTGATGTAAATCAGAGGCTCTCCCAGCCCAAAGATAGGCCAGTTCTCCTGAAATGGCCTTACTGTGTATGGTATAAGCCCCTCAAAGACAAGACTTATCTCTCTTGTCAATTGATTGGTCCCCTAGCAAAGTTCTGGCATCCAATAGGTGCTTAATAACCACTTGTTGTGTGGATGGAGGAGGAGAGGGATAGATAGACAGAACACACTGCTTTGCCTTGGGACCCAAAATCCCAGGGGTATTAATATCATCATTATCACCATTATTTATTGTACCATTTCTTGTATCACAATGTAGTAGGATAATATGCTTTGTCTATCTTGTTAACCCAATGCTGTTTGGGGTACCTATTTGCAGCAGCCATGTACACATTTGTGGTGCCTGAAGACATCCGCGTGGGCAGCTCTGTAGGTTCTCTTTTTGTTGAGGACCCAGATGAGCCTCAGAACCGGAAGACCAAGTTTGACATCGTGCAGGGCGAGTACAGAGACACCTTCACTATCGACACGGATCCTACCCGCAATGAGGGCATCATCAAGCCCATGAAGGTTTGTAGGCCTGCAACAATGGCATCAGATATGGAGTTTGGGGCTTATAGAATCCACAAGACCTGCCCAGGAGCTACACCTGAGCCAGAAGCCATCAAAGGAGAACACTCAGGATTGGCTCAGAGTTGGCTACATGTTCATAGAGACTGACCCAGTGTCTCAAGCTAGGTTACCCCCAAGTAGGCCTGGAGGCAATGATACAGGTATGACTTGGGAGGTGACCCCAGGAAGTCCCAGGGGCAATGACAGGTGAAAAAAAGAAAGGGGGAAGCTAGTGTGGAGCTCATCAATGAGCAGGTGAGCAAGTGGGACCCAGTCTCATGAGGGTTACCTGGTGACCCTGTAGAGCCCATCTCAGAGTTGCAGTATTTGGGGAAAGGAGTTGGAGTGTTTATACAGCAACCACTCCAGTGCTCCTGAGACACTGACTCCCTGGCACCTTCTGGGCTGCCCTATGTCCCAGCCAGTTGAAAACCATCAAGAGTTATGGAAACTGTGAGTGCCTGGGGATGTAAGTGGCCACAGAAAGTGGCTGCTCCTGACAGAAAAGCCAGATTGAATCTGGAGGATGAGGGAGAAATCCTGGAAGGGGTGTAAAAAGGCCTCCGGGGGATCTTGAACCTGAATCCTTTCCTGGTGCAGCCCTCTGCTGGAGACCAGAGACACAATGGGGAGACACACAGCCTCCAGAGTCCACAAAGCTCTCAATGAGTGGGGAAGGCAGATCCATACACACACAAAATATACTTGCTGTTTAGTGCTACATAACAATACCAGGCAGGCAGCAGTCCCTTGTCACCAGAGGGTGCTGAGCAGGCATCTGATTACTTTCTCATTGGCTTCTTGAGGATAGGAGTTTGCCACACAGGCAGGCACAGGAGAACCCTCTTGAGCAAAGATACAAAAAAAAGGCAGGACCATGAGAACCTGTGCATAGACCATGGGACCATGATCCACTTGAGAGCAGGACCATAGCTGATGGACTGCATGTCCTTCATACTAGGTACAGGGCCAAGCACAGAGCCAGGTTTGGGTGTGTCCCTGAGACTGGTGAAATGAAACAAAGGAGCTGAAGATAGACACCAGGCCCAGATACTCTCTTAATGACCTTGGCGATATCACTGTCCAGGTCACAGTGTCCAGTGGGTGTCATTCTAGTACCACTTTGCAAGGTGGCTGTGTGATCACATGGCACATGCTTGACTCAGAGCAGGTATCACTGTACCTTTTCCTTCCATAGCCCCTGGACTATGAGCTCATCCAAAAATACTCATTCGTCGTCGAGGCCACAGACCCTACTATCAACCTTGGATACCTGAGAGGCATCACGGGCAAAAACAAAGCCCGTGTCGTCATCAATATCTTGGATGTGGATGAGCCTCCTGTCTTCCAGAAGCGCTTCTATCACTTCCTGTTGAACGAGAACCAGAAGAAAAATCTAATAGGTTCAGTGCTAGCCAAGGACCCTGACAAGGCTGGGCGTAATATTGGGTAAGGAGAGTGAGTGTGTTGATGGCAATGACAGTAACCAGCCTAGCTTTTATGTTCTTATTCCTGCTGGTCTGAACCCAAAACTCAGAGAGAGAAAGTGGCTTCTCCCACACTTACATGGGAAATGGCAGAGGCAGGACTGGATGCCTAAACTCTTCCCACAAATGCTCATGACTTACTGGAATCTTGTCCTGCTGAGATACCCCACCCTGCACGGCCCAGGCTGTCCTCTGCTCCACCTTGAAGGCCCTGTGCTTTGGACAACCACTCCCACATGTCCCATCTAATAGACTTGACAATCAAGAGAGCAACCAATCAGGTGACATACATGAAGCCCCTGTGCCAAAAGTGTTTCATTCATGTTTTATTTGTTTCCCAAAACCTACAAAAGGAGTGTTTATTTCACATGGTGAAACAATAACAAAGATCTATAAAGAAAATTTTGATAAGTCCCACTCCCAGATAGCTCGTGTAAGTGACCTGACATGGTCCCATCACACCTTTCTTCATGCCCACACATTTCTGCTGGATTTGTTGTTGTTTCCAACGCTGTATTGTTTTATTTTTATCATGTCATACCCATTTTGTTGGTACTTTCTGTCTCATCTGTTTTTTTGTTGCTATAGCCTCAGACCATAAGCTGTGTAATTTATAAAAAGTGGATGTCTATTTAGCTCACAACTCTGGAGACTGTGAAGACCAAAAGCACGGTGCCAGCACTTGGTGTTGGCATTTGGTGAGGGCCTTCTGACTGCATCCTCACTTAGTGGAGGGCATCACATGATTATACAGAGCAAGCATGCCAACACAGATCTCTCTACCTCATCCTATAAGGCCACTAATGCCATCAGAGGGCCTCGCCCTCATGACCTTATCTAATCCCAATTAATTCCCAATGACTCTATCTCCAAATTCCATAAATGTAGGAACTTTGGGATTAAGTTTCCAACATGAACACTGGGGTAGGAGGGGAGTACTGGATATGGAACCCAAGGTCTTTCCTCTTAGTTGCCCAGGCTGGGCTTGAACTTGCAATTCTCCTTCTTTATCCTCACAGGGTGCTGGGATTACAGGACTGGGCCACCAAGCCTAGGTCACTAACACATGAACTTTTGAGGGACACATTCAAAGCATAGCACTTGCTCATCTGTCTTCCCTAGACTCCACACCTCCATCCTCTGGAACAAAAGAAATAGTTCTAATTCATTTGCTAGTAAGTTTGAATTCAGTCCAATTTTGTTTTATTCCACATGGGTAGCCAATTGTTCCCACCACTTGCTATATACTAAGTTCTTGTAGATAACCTGCATATATTTCTGAATTCTCCCTCTATTGTTCTGTGGCATTCTGTATTGTAACAGCTTTCTACTAAATTTTATTATGTATAAGACAATACCTCCCTCACTGTATTTTTATTTTGTATAATTTTTATCCATTCTCATATATTCATTCTTTCATATGAGCTTTAAAATCTTTCTACCTAGTTGTTTTAAAAAATTGACTTTCCAATGAGAATTGTTTGTGTATCAATTTTGGAAGGGCTAATGTTTCTGTGACATTATATCTTCTTGTTAAAGACAAAATAAGCCCTTCTGTTTTGATTGATCTCATAAATTTTGGGTCTGCTATTTTCATTGCCATTCTATTCCATACAGTCTATTTATAATTTCTGTTTCTTCTTTGATTCAGAGTTTTATTTAAGGGATTGACTTTTTTCCTTTTATTTACAAACAGTGAGAATTTTTAAATTTTCTTTTAACTTGTTCTATGATGTGATACAATTGTTTTTTGTGTCTATTTTTTTCCTAAGATATTGAAGCTTTGTTTTATGTATTTTAATTTTTCTATCTGGTTAACTAAGGCTTACAATTATTTTACCTTCATTATGGCTTATAAATTTTATCTCTATGAAATTACCCAATTTATTGCCTTTCAACATTTGGCTCTTAGTTCCACATTGCCTGGCATTGATTTTGTCAGTCATGTTTTCATGTTATTTTATTTGCCTGATATAAATTATCTACCATTCACTTTTAATATTTCTAGGTCACTTCAAATTAAGATGTCTCTTGAAAACAGAATGCATTGAGCTTTGCTTTCTAATCTAAACTGCCATGCTTTGTGTTCAACCTATTTACATCTTTAATCATATGTGTTATGTTTGATCTTATTTCTTTTATCTCTTTTTTTGCATTTCTCAATTGTAAAAGATTTTTCTTGTCCCTCATCTTTGCTATAAAATTCTTTTCTTTCTTAGATATTTGGATTATATACATTAGAACTTCCACCATGAGATTCACTTCTATCTGTGAAAATTTTTAATATTTTTCTACTTAAAAACATTATACACACACACACACACTCATACACACACCACTGCTTTTCTATATATGATAAAGAAAGCAATAGCTTCATTTGAATTCCTCCAAAACCAGGTTTTTACTTTACATTGAGACTTTTTTTTAGAGTGAATGTTCAAAAAAATTTAAGTATATCACCTGCTTATTCTCGTGGGTGATGTATTTCCTTAGTTCTTAATATTTATTTTTAAAAACTTAGTTCTTTCCCTTATTACTTTAAAACACCTGAATGTGCCCATACAATCCTCAGATTATAGATCCTTCCCTTCAAAAATACTATCAATGTGCTCTAACATTTAATTTTGTGGGGTCATCTTATGTGAGTCTAATTTATTTTTTCCTGAGCTTCTGAGCTCTTCGATTTCACAAAACCTGAAATTCCAGAGTGTCATCAGAATATACCTAAATATTTTCTTTCTAAAGTTATGCACGATATCAATGACACCTTTTAATCTATAGACTCAGATCTTTTTGCAAATCAGGAAAATTTTCTCTTATTATATTTTTGTTATTCTGGTATGTTTGTTCTTGAATCTTCCTCAGTAATAGCAATAATTTTCATGACATGTATTTTATATATAGAGGTAGGTGTGTGTGTGTGTGTGTGTGTGTGTGTGTGTGTGTGTATTCATCTCTTCATAACTTTTTTCCTGGTTTCTGGAAGATTTTTTCACATTTGTCATTCATAAATTTGTTTATTATTACTTCTTATCTCTTCCAGCTTCTTTTGCATTTCTTCCTGGCTATTAACCACGTATCTTTTCAGTAATCATAAAAAACAATCCCAGTTGTGGTACAGTTGATCATGGTGTCACCTGCTTAGCTCTGCTACCAGTGGAGTCTCAGGTACCCCATTCACTCCTAAGACAGCAGCATCACCCAGACCAGACCTCATACCCCTGGGCCCCTCGGTGTTGATGGATGGGTCTAAGCCGTTTGAGAAGATGGGGAAGGACACCAGGGACAGATACTGAAAGACTTCTTCTACCCTGCTGAGGATTTTGACTTAGTAAAAAAATAGTGGAAAACCATAAAACTCTCTCCTTGACAGATACTCCATCCGCAAGACTAGTGACAAGGGCCAATTCTTCCGAATAACCAAGCAGGGTGACATTCACTGTGAGAAAGAACTGGACAGAGAAATCTACCCCTGGCACAACTTGACTGTGGAGGCCAATGAGCTAGATCCTAATGGTGAGTAGCCTCATCTGCTGGAAGACTTGGACTCTTCTCCTTTTCTCCCATTCTTTCAAAATGGCTATGATTGGTCACTTGGGGTCACCAGAGGTATTACAAGCCCTCCTGCAGCACTCTTTGGCTGGGAAACTATCAAGCTTTCATACCTGAGAGTTCGCCTTAGACTGGCAGTGTCAACATCACCTGAGACCTTACTAGAAGTGCAGAATCTCGCTTCCATCCCAGGCTGAATCAAAATCTCATGCATATCATTTTGAGAAGCACTGTTATAAAACTGGCAGTGTAGTATAGATGCCTCTGTGATGAAAATCATCTATGGTACCTACTAGACACAGAGCTTCTCAGACTCCTCCCTGGAGGTTCTGATCCAGTGAGCAAAAATGGGGTCAAGGATATGCACATATCAAGCACCACATGATTCTGATTATCAAGGATGGCTGAGAAATGTTTCTTAGGAGTACAGGTCACCAGTTAAGGAGCTGAATTTGAAATCTGAAGCATCTCTCAACTCGAGACTGTTAGGTTTTCCATAAATTGTGTGATTACTGACTGAGGCAAGGGCCAGTGTCAGAGGCTTTGTACCCTTTACATATGTGAGGAAATCACAAACACCATCCAGAAGAACAACTAATATTCCCACAATCCCCAGGATGCTACTAGGGTCCAGAGGGAGATGAATTTTTACATAAGTTATTACATAACTAATTATTAGTTATATTATTTAATAAATTATATTTATTTACTTAATTTAATTAAAATCTTTTAAATGCACAGATCATTTACCTTTTTTATTCTTACAAGTCATGTAGATTTCCTCATATAAATTTCTTGCATGTCAGTAAATGTCCTCATGTCTGAAGATTTACCCCATCCCTTCTTCCTTCACATTTCTTTATCCAGAACATCTTCCCCAGGCTCTCTTCCAGGGGTCTATAGCTCTGTCTTCCTGCAAAAAGGAACCTCCACCAGACAGCCCTGCCAATCTACCCAACCAAATGCCTTCCACCCTCCAGCGGCCAGCATCAGCTGAGCCCACTCTGGTGACAAATCCTTCTCTCTGCAGGGAACCCCACAGGCAAAGAATCTATTGTCCAGGTGCACATTGAAGTTTTGGATGAGAATGACAATGCCCCAGAGTTTGCTCAACCCTATGAGCCCAAAGTGTGTGAAAATGCAGCCCAGGGCAAGGTGAGTTTGGCTGGGTGGAATGGAAAGGCAGCGTCATCTGGGGGCAGGTTGAAAGGCAGACCCTCCAACCCACCCTAGAGTTCCACTGAACTTAATGGGACTGAGGGAAAGTAAGATTATCCCTATTTTACATGTAGAGAAAGTGAGGATTAGAGAGAATTCTGGAGCGTAGGTTAGTGGGGGTGGGGGCGGACAGGACAATGGTAGAAGTGCCCTTGCGAATATCATCTAATTTGGTGTTGCAGTTGAGTAGCAGCTATGGTCAGTAAGGTCTAAACCCAAGATCTCCATTGCTGAACCCCAGGCCACCCCAACACAACAATGACTCTCCCCCATCTCCCATATTCCAGCTGGTTGTGCAGATCTCTGCAGTAGACAAGGACATAACGCCACAAAATGTCAAGTTCAAGTTTGCCCTGGGGACTGATGACAGCAACTTCACCCTCATAGACAATCACGGTGAGCATCAGAGCAATGAGCTGGCTCTTAGCAGGGTTGGAGTGAGGTTGAGTCTTGAAGCACCAAGATCAAGGACTAGGCCAACAAATGGGGGCAGGCCCCCAGGGGGATTTGCATATTACAGCGGATTTTGTACAGCTCCTGCCACATACATTGTAAAATTGGTTTATACAATGATCAGAGTTACCCTGGCCAAACTTCCCAGTCCATGTGGCCCATGGATCCCCAGAGATGCTCAGGGCCAGGAGGAATGCAGAATAGATATGGGAGTGCAGGCAGTCAGCCCAGCTCACTAGCCAATGGATCTCTTCCCACACCAGCATCTCTGTGCCTCAGTGAAATTGGGAATTACTGTAGGACATGGAATTTTGAGATCACCCCCAAAGTACAAATACTGGAAATATGAAGTTGAAAATCCCAAAGAGACAGTAACTTTTAATTGTTAAAAGGACTACTTACCACCAGGTGGCCCCTGCACAAGACCTGGTGCACCAATCACAACGTGACACAACACATTTGGTCCCCCAATCAAAGCTCAGAGAGTCCTGTGAGGTCAGTAGCAAGCCAATCAGCTCTTCTAATGAATATGTGCTTACCCAAGTGATGATGTTGTGTTGATTTAAGTCCAAAGATAGAGAAGTTTCTGTGGCCTCTGAAATTTCCTCAGGAAAATAGAGAAAATCCTCATTAGGCCGGGGGGGGAGCTGTCTCTGCTTGTCCCTGGTTAGCAAGACTATTGGCATCTTTGGGGAAGGATAAGGAGCAGGGCCCAGAAAGTGAGGGTCAGATTCAGGGAATCAGCTATGTGAGGCCATGAGTGCTCCTGACCTCCTGTGGATGAGGAAGGCCTCACAGGTTGATGAAGAAAGTAGTGGCTATGATGTATTAATAGTTGATGACAGACAATTCAATACTCAGATGTCTTGAGTAGTGTCTTAGTTACTTTTCTCACTGCTGAGAAAAAATACCCAAAGCTCATTGTTAAAGGAGGAAAGATTTGTAGCTTACAGTGTGGAAGATTCAGTCAGTAGTCATAGTCAGCTGGCTCCAAGGCAGGGAGGCATGGCAGAGGGGCATCACAGAGGAGAAACAGTTCTTGGTGTGGCAGGAGAAAGCAGAATGCAGCAAGCAGCAGCAGCAGCCTGCCTTCTCTCTCTCCCTTTATATTCCATACAGGCTGTAAGCCTATTGATGGGTACCACCCACACCCATGGTGGGGCGTCCACAATCCATGTCCTTAATCCCAGTATCACACCCTTAATCCACATTCATACACCCTAGTCTAGCCACCTTCAAAACTTCCCACCTATGACTGCAAGAGGCTTTAGGGGAACATCTAGATATAAGCCATAACAAGTAGTAAATAATATATCAAAAAATACCAGGGCTGGGGATTTAGCTCAGTGGTTCCACCGACTGCCTTGCAAATGCAAAGTCCCGAGTTTGATTCCAGGTACCAAAAAAAAAAAAAAAACCTGTTATCCCACTCCCAGTGTCAACCTGAAATGATCATGGTAGTGCAATGGGGTGGAAAATTTAAATGTCTCCCCAAATAAACCCCAGATGCAATCAGGAGACAACCCTGTTGGTTTCAGAGTCATTTGCATTCTGAATGTCAGAATCTCTAATTTCTCCCATAAAGTGTCAATGGCATTGACACTTTATAATAATTATTTTATAATAATTTATTTTCAATCATAATAGACTTAAGACTGAAATGACATTATGAAATGTCTTTCGTTTGAAATCCTTGACTTTTGGCTGGTTTCCTTAGTGTGCCCTCCTGTGTGGCTAAGTAAATCCTCAAACCATCAGCTTTACAACCTCCCAGGAATCTACAAAGGATAGCTTACCCTGCCTTTGCCCAAAGCCACTGAGTATGGGGCGGGGGGGCGGGGGTTGTTCAGAGTGAAGTGAAGGGAGGAGCCTGAAAATCAGGATGTTTGAAAAGCTCTCTAGGTGATTCTTATGTCAGGAAACCAGTGAGTGGAGCTGGGGTGTGGGCGAGGAATATTTGGACAAAGCATAGTCCAGTTGTAGACTGCCCAGGAAGCCTTCAGTGGCAAATCCAATCATTCTCTCAGTGCCCCAGGGAAAGAGGGCATTGTTTTTACTGTTGCAAACTTCCTTTATAATGATGGATTTTCAGAGATAGCAAAAACAGTTCTAGAAGCTAGCCCATGCTAAAAGACTTTTTAAAACTTTTCCCAATTCCTTGTGAAAGTTTGAAGCAATAATTAGTTGTACCAAAGAAGAAAGGGCCCTGTAATTGCAGTAGGATTAGGGAAAAGAAGGGGACAAGTGTATCTGTTGCCCACAGAACAAGAGAGCAAGGATTTTACATTCTGGCTCAGCCATCCTTCCAGGCTAGGTCAAGGCAGCTGCCCCAAACATTCCCTCTGCAAAGGAAAAGGCCTGTGTGCGCATAACTACATCCAGATGCAGGGAATGCCAAGGGCAGAGATCCGCATAGGAGCTGGTGCAACGAGGGAGGGCTCACTGGAGGGGGCAGCTTGCTCCATGGTATGAGGGGCTGACACTCCCAACAGAGCCTCACACTGTGGCTTTGGTGCTGCCAGATAACACAGCCAACATCACAGTCAAGTATGGGCCGTTTGACCGGGAGCATGCCAAGTTCTACTACCTGCCTGTGCTCATCTCGGACAACGGGTCCCCAAGCCTGACGGGTACCAGCACGCTGACCGTGGTTGTGTGCAAGTGCAACCAGCAGGGCACGTTCACCTTCTGTGAGGAGGCAGTCGCCCAGGCAGGCGTCAGCATCCAGGCACTAGTGGCCATCTTCCTCTGCATCCTCACCATCACAGGTCAGTGTCACGTGGGCCGGTCAGGGACACCTGGGGGCTTTACCCTGTGAGGTGCTGGGGCCACCACCTCAGGGATCCAGTTGTGGGATGTGAGCTGCAGCACTTCACCCACCAGCTGCCTGAGAGGGGTGGGCACGGTGCAAGACCCCTCTCCACTCTTCAGGCCAACTCTCCTTCAGAGTAGCCCGCAGCCCAATGCTACAGCGCTTGCCTAACATGTGTGAGGTCCTGGGTTTGATCCCCAGCATCAAGAAAAAATGATAATAAGAAGCTGTATTTGACATGCACTCATCCAATGTCAGTAGTAAATTTAAAACTTACTATGTGCCAGGTTCTGATCTGAGTATTTCTTTACATAAAATTTATTTTTAATTTTTTTAAAAAATAGGATCCATTTCTAAAATGAAAAGTTTTTTAACTCTTAGTTTACATTATCACCAGGGGTTTTCTTTCCTTTCACAGAATTCCTCCAGTTTTTTTTGTTTTGTTTTGTTTTGTTTTGTTTTGTTGGTATTGGGGATCAAACTAGAGACCTTGCACTTGCGAAGCTGGCAGCGGGAACCACTGAGCTAAACCCCCAGCCCTCTCCAGTTTTGACACTTATTTCCTTTTCCTCCTCTGGGCCTCACGTGTATTTGGAGCATGCCAAGCTCACCTTAGTTTGCATCCCTCAGGAAGCAGACGCTGGGTGCAAGTGGTTTCCTTGGAAAGTACTCCCTGGAGAGCTCTTATGGAAAGAGGGAAGGGAGCAGCCAGTGAGATTGAGTTGTCACCAGAGTTGTCCTGCGGTAACAGCTTCCTCCTGCTGAGGGGCAGCGAGGCATCAGCTCCCATCCCGATGGCAGCCCGATCCTGCCATGAGAGTGAATTCTCCTATCCTTCACCTCCCGGGCAGGAGTCAGCAGTCAGCCCTGGGGGATCAGCTCAGCCTGTACACTACCCTGACCAGACCCTGCCTGCTGTGATCTTCCCAGCTGGTGGCTCCCCTGGCATGCTCCCCTCCCAGGGCTTCTGGGACAGAAAATCCGGACCCAGATTGCCCCCCTTTACTAATACCAATAATAATAATAATGGCATAGCGGTCACCCATAGAATTGATTTAACCTCATAACCATCTTCCCAAATATAAGCAGAGCAGAAACATCATCATTTCCATTTTACAAGGAAACAGGCTCAGGTTGGGGTCTCCCAGGGCACACGAGCTTCGCTTATGTATGTGACCGCTTGTTAAGTACTTTGAAGCTGGAACAGAGCCTAGGGGAATGGTCTGAGCTTGATTTTAGAGGCTCTCTACGCCACATGGTCCACCCTGCTCAGACATCAGAGATCCTCACACAGCCCCCCCTCCCTCCGCGCCTCCAGGAGTGTCATCTGCACCACCACCCGGCCATGGCACTCTGGGCTCAGCTAGCTTAACTGTAAAACAGGAACAACAGTGCCTATGCTGGACTGGACATGATGGCACACACCTGTAAAATCAGCTACGTGGAGGCTGAAGCAGGACGATTACAAGTTTAAGCCCAGCCTGGGCAACTTAGCAACTTAGTAAACCCGTCTTAAAATAAAGAATTTTTTTAAAAGGCTGGCGATTCGGGTTAGTATAAAGGCCCTGGGTTCAATCCCAATACCACCAAAAAATAAAGGCTGCACCGAGTGAGATAATACTAGCATGTGCCTCAAGTAGTGCTGGGTGTTTATAAAGTAGGTGCAAGAGTGGCTGCAGCTCCTGCAGTGGATAACATGTCTACTAGCACCTTTATCCAGGTATTATCATTGCAGTCTCAACAAAGTAACAGTTCAAAATCTTTGCACCTAAAATCCCAACTCCACACCTTTCCCCTATTTCTACCCAACCTGTGGTCTCCTGGCCTTTTGGAGATGACATGGAATGACGTGCCACCCTGGTATGAGGGGACAGGAAATGAGGATGCAGTGAACTGGGTGGAGACTGCAGGAAGAGAATGAACTGGAGGAAGCCCCACCCTGTTCTCCCTACGCTCACCCCTTACTTCAGCTGTGGAGACGAAGAGGGCAGTCAGGGGCGGAGGACAGGAGTCTTCCTCACGGGTGGGGGCGTGAACCGACCAGGTGTCTGGGCCACACCGATCCTGCAGGTGTCCCTGGAGCCCCGGCTGGGCCCAGAATTTGCAGGGTACAGGGAGGACAGAGGAATGGGGGGACCCTCCTGGAGCCTGTCTGACACTCCTCTCCCCCCCCCCCGGCGCCCAGTGATCACCCTGCTCTTCTTCCTGCGGAGGCGGCTGCGGAAGCAGGCCCGCGCCCACGGCAAGGGCGTGACCGAGATCCACGAGCAGCTGGTCACCTACGACGAGGAGGGCGGCGGCGAGATGGACACCACCTGCTACGACGTGTCCGTGCTCAACTCGGCGCGGTCGGGCGCGGCCAAGCCCTTGCGGTCCGTGTTGGACGCGCGGCAGCCCATCTACGCCAAGGCACAGAAGCCACCGCGGGTGGCGCCAGGGGTGATGCCCGGAGTGCACGGCGGGCCCGGGGAGATGGCCGCAATGATCGAGGTGAAGAAGGACGAGGCAGACCACGACGGCGGCGGCCCGCCCTATGATACCCTGCATATCTACGACTACGAGGGTTCTGAGTCCATCGCCGAGTCGCTCAGCTCCCTAGGCACCGATTCGACCAACTCTGACATCGATTACGACTTTCTCAACGACTGGGGGCCCAGGTTCAAGATGCTGGCCGAGCTGTACTCCAACCCCTGGGATGATCTGGTATATTAGGGGTCACAGACCTCTGGGCCTGGGGACTCAAACCCAGGGCAGCCCGGGTCAGTCGGACAGCAGACATCAAGCCCTCCAGAGTGGCACTGACTCCCCAGCCCAGCACCCCTTCCTCGTGGGTACCAAAGACCTCACCATGCCCAGGGTAGCAAGCTCCAGACTCCTGAAATACCCAGGAACATATTTCAGTGATGGCTACTCCGTAAATGCTGGAAAGGCTGGGCTCCTGTACTGTCGAGGCTGGGACATCCACGTCACCTTGTTGCCCCTGAGCCACAGATCTAACTCAAAAACTCTCTTTGGCTCAGCAAAGCTCCCAAGCCAACCAGCCTGGGTCAGCTGCCAGCAGGATCTTCCCCTGAGGTCACCAAACTCACTGGTGTGATCTTGGTGACTGCCTGGTGGCAGAGGTCTGGACAGTAGATCTGTGGGACAGGACTCTGTGGCCCAGTCCCCAAGGATACTGACTGTCATCGCGCCCTGTCTGGAGCTCCAGCTCTGTCTGCTGTGACCCCTCACATTCTCCCAGGGCCCCACCACTCCCCAGCCCCTCCCGGGCCTCTCAAGAGGGACGAAGGGACCACATGGCAGCTGCTGACCCTGGGTCCTACAGTGACCTTGCTGGCCTGCCGCTCCAGTAACTGTGCTCTACTGAGCGAGGGTTGACTCATTCCGCCAAATTCAGGGAAATGGCTTGTTGAACTTAAAGCAACTGTGAATTCATCCTGTAGGGGACAGTGGTGACCAAGAGTAACAGATCATAGGGTGAAGGCCACCTCCACACCCACCGCCTCTGGAGAGGGCACGGAGCAGCTGAGACCCTGATCTGACACTCATCAGCACTCACCTAGGCTTGCCTGTGAAGGGGCAGATGATTTTGGAGCAGAAGACACCTCCATTACCTGGTCACTCCTGCTTTTTCTTTCTTCTCTTTCTCTACTTAATGCTTGACTTCAAAGGAACCATGATGTGGCCCTCAGCAAGTCCAGCAATGCCCACACCCAAACACGGACTGCAGACTGTGTGACAGGCCTTGCCTTTTCCGTTTTTTGCCTTGTTGCCAGGTCTCAGGGAACCAGCCCTCAGGCACACTGCAGAAGGCGAGGCCCTGCCCTGCCCCAGCCCTCCAGCCCCTGGTCTCTGTGTAGCTTGCAGAGAGCCGCATGCAGAACTTCCCACTACAAATGCACCTTGAGGAGGCAGCATTCAGACAGAGAGCAGGGAGGAGACACACACTCCAGCTTACCCCTCATCACAAACCACTCTGCCCAGTCTCACAAACCACATGATCTCTCATACTGCAGGGGCCTGGAGAGAACACTGACATTATTTTTGACTAATCATTAGTTTTTTATAACAACTTTTTTTTTTTTTACTAATAATACTGACAAATTTCTAGCTCCCACAAACATATAGAATAAGAGTTTGGCATAATAAGCAGACTGTTATTTAGATTAACAATTTTAATGCAGGTTTTGTCATTGGACAAACAATTCCTATAACCTTCTATTTCCTATCATTGTAGTGATTCCTCTACAGATAGCGATTATATTTTGGCCACACTGGTGCATGAGGTGTACTGTATTTTTTTATGCCTAAATAAAGAAAATTCTTGAAATTTTTCCATCTCTAGAGCTGAGAGCATGCATGGGAAACACACACATGCATATACAAGTATATATCAGCACTATCATCAGAGAGCAGGGAGACACTGGAGTCACTAGAAAATGATTTGTAACAGAAAGACCCAGTCCCACACCCAGCCCCAGTGCATGCTCAACCCTCCAGCTTCCTCCTCCTGTCTATACAGCAGGCATGGCCTCTGGCACTTGGGACTGCAACACCATTTGCAAGTGGCAAATGAAGAACCAGCGTCTTTCCTGGGCATGCATACTGCCTTGCCCATGTGTGTGGACTTCGAAATTCCTAGGAATATGCTAGAGCTTTTAAAAATCCCTTATGGATGAACACTCCTCAACTTTTCCTTTTAAAATTTGGGGTCAGCTTCTTGTTTGTCCCAGCTGCTCTCACCAGCTGAGACAGGGTCGTTTTAAACAGTCACTGCTGATTGTTTTTAACAAATGCCCCCAAGGAAAGGCTGCTTGCATTGAGCTGCAAACCGGGTCAAACAACACAGTCTTGTAAATGGGGTCTTCCAGGGAACCACCAGACAGGTGAAATGACAGTTACCCAGAAACCAGGCTTTGGAGTACGCCCACCCTATTCTGTCCCTTCCAGGGCTGCTGACTTTCACTGTGATTGGGAACTACTGGGAGTCAAGGCTACCTCTAGATTTGGGTGTGGAGGTCAGAACTAGGACATTAAAATGCCACAAAGCCAACCACACTGGCCAAAATTCGTCCATTTTTCTTGGACAGGAACACTGATTGTTGCCAAGTTTTGTGTTACTATCCAGAGTTTTTTAAAAAGTTGATTGTGACTATTCTTGCCACTATCTTCACTGCTTTCACGAGAGGAGTTCCTTGCTCTGTTATTCATACTGATATCACCCTCTCAGGACGCTATTTTTTGTTTGTTTGGGGGGGGGGGGGGTTCCGTACCGGGGATCGAACTCGGATCCTTGAGCTTGCGGGGCAGGTGGTGGAAGCGCTGCGCTAAATCCCCAGCCCTCAGGACGGTTTCTGAGCTGAGTTTTCCCACCTATCTGAAAGGCCTGCCCCCCAACTCACAGCCTGTGCAACCCCTGGAGCCTATGAAATCTGTCCCCTACTTCCTTCTCTAAGATTCCCCCGTCTGGCCCCAAGTCACCCCGATTGAGACAATCCCTATTGCTCCAATTCGGTGGAGCCAGGTGCTCTGCTTTGCTCTTATTTACCCCGAGGGAGAAGGAGTGAACCTCATGAAGGTGAAGGCCTACTTCTGAGAGGCAATGACTTTCATTTCACAGACCAAGGTGAGACCCAGAGAAGGGGTGCCATGCGACCAGAACGACACAGCAAAGTAAAGGCAGAGTTGAGGCTAGAACCGGACTCCTCGCTCCCAGGAGAAAGGGGGTCTGCTGAAGGCTTCCACGGACCAGGACGCACTTTGACGCAGGTTGCACGGGTCGTGAGGAAAATGACCGCTAGGGGGCGCGCTGAGTCAAAAAATGTGCGGCGCTGGCCGGTAACCCGGGCGGGGAGTTTTGGCATCCTGACAAGAGGGCAGGCTCTGGGTGTTTTGGACGTTGACAGAGAAGTTGTATCAGAAAGGAGACCGCGCGGTCGGGCATCACAAACCGTCTAGACTCTCGCACTGCTTCTCGTTCGCGCTAGGCTCTGCTGGGGAGACAGAGACAGGAACCGAATCCCCAGCCTCTCCAGGGCTTGGGATACCTGTGCCTCCAGCAGCCTGGCCGGCACGGAGAATCTCAACTCACAGGAGCCCTTGGCCCTGGCCGCCGGGTCCTGGGGCTTGTGAGGGTCACAGTGCCCCCCACCACGTCTCCCAGCCTCGGGGCCCCTGCCTCAGTGTCCACACCCAGCTCCGCTCCTCTGTCCCGTCCTGCTTTAGCCAAGCCAATCCTGGAGAGTTGACTGGGCCAGACACAGTGGCGCGTCCCTGCCCCGTCCCTGCAGATCCCTGCGTGTCTACATTCCAGACACCGCCCGGGAAAAAACCCTTATGACAAATCCTATTCGTGACGTGACACTTCTGAAGATTTCCTCCAGAGACCGGCCCAGGCCACATGGCCACAATGCTAAATTCAGCATTATTTACAAAAAAAACTGGAACCGATATGAATGTCTTCCCATGAGGGAACGGTTAGGTAAATTGCCACGGACTATACAACGACACTGGGCAGTCATTAAACTTCGTATTTCTATGTGGTCATCTTGAGCTGAATTCAAGGTAAAACACAAAAGCAGAACCCAATGCCTTATCCACCGACAGATCCCACTGTTTCCTAGTAGACAGACCCCCTCCAGGAAATGGAATTCTGAATAATTCTTATTTTCTCCTTTATTTTTGTTTTGGGTTTTCTAAAACCAACATGTATTTATAATCAAGAAAGTTATTTGTATTAATCTGTAAACATTTGTTAAAAATGCTTTGAGTTCATTATGAATCCAACACTTTATTAAGTTAACTAAAAGGTTTTTTGTTGTTGTTGTTGTTTTTTTGGTTTTTGGGCTTTTTATATTTTTGAGGCAAGGCCTTGCTGTTACCCAGACTGGCCTTGAATTCATGATCTTTGTACAGCAGCCTCCCATGTACTGAAATTGCAAGCGTGCACGCACCAACGTGCCCAACTCTAAATTGCTTCTGAGGTCATGTCTTTTTGAAAAGCCATTATTGGGATGCTAATTAATTTTATTATTTATTTACTTCTGAAAGGCTTTCTTTGCACTTGGTCTATGATTCCTAAACCTCTTAGCCTTTGGAGTTCTTTACCTTCAAATTTCCAGCAACTTTCAAGATCAAAACAATTGCATTCTATGGGATGAGGGAAAACTGGTTTTCCAGGTAGGTGACCCACATAGAAGTCTGCACTGCTGCTCTTTCTCAAGGACAGAAGAGAAACAGATGAGGCCACTTTCAGCCCTTCCAGCATCATCTGTCCTGTCTGGGAAGTCAATGTGTGCATCAACACTCAGGTACTTCACAGTTCTTTGCAATGTGCTTTTGTAACTGAGGGTATAGGAACTGGAGTCAAGTCATGATGTTCCCAAGTAATGGTTGCTGGGGGGATGATTAGTGCTCTTACACAGGAAGCTGCAGCTCTGGACAGGAAATGAATCTTCCCATCAAAGGAAACAAACAAAACTCCACCTGTGAGCTCAGAGAAAACTTTTCCTAGCTAAGCAGAGAGAGACCTACAGGCACAGAGCACCTAGCAGGAGCTACTAAAGCCCTGCTTGGGGCACCGCATAATGCAACTAATGTCTTTCAGGGCATGGAGAAGTAGGAAAAGTGATCTGGGGTGTTTGCAAATGCAACACTTAGAACTTAGTGACAATAGCCCTAAAGAAAAACACCTGCATGTATTGGTCAGGCCTCAGGTGAAGACAGTTACCTATACCTGAATACAGCAGAGACCATTCCTGACAAACCAATCCTGGTTTGCACAGGAATTTCCTGGTTTTAGCTCTAATATCCTGTGTCCTAGAAAACTCAGTCCCCATCCAGGTGATCTGATAGTTTTGAGCATGAACTCTAAAAGTCAATTTTCCTGGATGTCAGGAAAATTCCCTTAGAAGTAGAGGCACATGTCTTATCATCACTGAGCCAGTTTCCTCATCTATAAATAAAACAGGGTAATATTATACTGCCTGCTCTCAGTTTTCATGAAATTTAAAGGAAATAAATCTTGAAAAGAGAAGAGAACCAAATTTGGCACATAGCAATTACTCCACGTTATCAGGAAGGGAGGGAGGGAGGGAGGGAGAGAGGGAGGGATTCCATAAAATTATAGATTTTCATATTTTATTTAAGATTTTTTAATTCTGTATTTTTTTTCTTTGGGGGGTTATTTTAGATATACATAATGATAACATTCATCATAGGGAATTTGTACCTGGACATGATGCATCCTCTTTTTTATTCCCATTCCCTTCCCCTCCCTCCCTTCAGTCCTTTTTCCTCTCCTTATTTACAAAAGCTTTGTTTCCATTTTTTCCTTCTATTCTTTTTTTCTAGTCCCTTCCTTCCTTTCCTCCTCCTCCCTTGTTCCCCTTCTCATTTGACCATTTTCTTCCCATTTTAACTTTTTTTACTGCAACCATTTTCTAACTCTTAAAGGAACAATGATTTGAGTGTTGATATTTTCCCAGCATAAAGGAACACAATGTAGCTTCCTTGTATTTTATCTTATGTGAAAATATTCCATCCTCATTAACTTTTTCAGGGGCTTCTCATAATTCTTTGATTGAAAGTATCTTCACTTACAATTACTTTTTGTCATCTTCCTTGTCAATGTTCTCTTTGTTGTTACTGATGAGTCTGTGTGGAAATTAACAGAGCTGAAAAACAGTCACACAAATAAGGATAGCATTTTCAATAAACAGTGCTAGGACAGAAAAAATTTTTACCTGTGTGTTACACTGTATACAGAAATTAATTCAAAAAGAATGAAAGACCTAAATGTAAGGCACAAAAACCTCGAAACTTTTAGGAGGTGAAGCAGAGTTCTGAGATGACACTGAAAGCTTAATTCATACAGAGAAAAACAGTACTGTTTTTGTAGCACTGGGGATTGAACCCAAGGCCCTCTCACCAAGCTACATCCCCAGCCCCTCCGTCTCTGTTTTACTTTCAGACAGAATCTCACTAAGTCGCTAAGTTGCCAAGGTTGGGCTCAAACTTGCAATTTTTTTGTCTCGGCCTCCCAGAGTGTTGGGATTACAGGCATGCAACACCACGCATGACTAAGAGAAAAAACTTAATAAGGGAGTTCCCCAAAACTAAAAACTAAAAAGTTCTATGAAAGACACTAGAAAGAATGAAAAGACAAGGGGCTGGGGATTTAGCTCAGTGGTTTCACTGCCTGCTGCGCAACTGCAAGGACCCGAGTTCGATCCCCGGTACCAAAAAAAAGAATGAAAAGACAAGTTGTAGACTATCACATACCTGACAAAATATATCCAGAATATATAAAGTCCTCTCCAAACTCAACAGTAAGAAAACACTGCATTTCTTTTATTTGAACAGGTACTTCATCAAAGAAGATATATGTATGGCAAATAAGCACATGGAAGATGTTCGGCATCCCTGGTCATTGGGGAAATGCACTTTAAAACCACAATGAGCTGCCACCACATACCTAGTAGAATGAGGGAGAGGGGATGACAATACCAAAGACTTCAGAGGAGACAGAACAACTAGGACACTCATGCATTGACATGGGGAGTATGGAAAAGTACAGCTACTTTAGATAACAGTTTGGCAGGTCTTATAAAATTAGACATACACTTACCACAGGACCTAGCAATCCCAATACATACTCAAGAAGTAATAACCTCTTTAACGCACAAACCTAAAGTGCTATCTTATAGCAACTTTACTTGTAACACAAAACTAAAAATAAACCTATTAATCCCTCAACTCGGAAATGATGCTGTGCTGTAGATGTTCCTGTCTCCCAAAATTTATATGTTGAAACCTAAGGCACAATGTGAGATTATTTGGAGATAGAGATTTGGGGGAGGTGATTAAGTGATGGAGGAAGAGTCTTCGAGAAGGGGATCCGTGTCCTTATAAAAGAAACCCCAGAAGGTTCCCTTCCACCACGGAGGACACAGTTAGAAGTTCCACCTGTGAACCAGGAAGCAGCTCACCAGACTCCAAATCTGCCACTACCTTGACGTTGGGCTTCCTGGTCCCTGGAAGTATGAGAAATAAATT